TTCCATCCTTAATTTCTTCTATAACCCAGTAGTTTTTGAGCAAGGTGTTGTTCAGTTTCCATGTGTTTGATTTTTTTTCCTTGTTTTTTCTGTTTATTCTACTTATATGGCTTTACGGTCAGAAAAGATGTTTTGTAATATTTTGATGTTTTGGATTTTGGGGGTTTTTTTGTTTGATTTTTCTTCTTTGTCATTTTATTTTTATAAGCGCTACATAACACACTAGATAGTACATTGCATAAGCTTCTATAGCAGGGGTAGGTGAGCGTAACTGAGTTGTTTTTTCACCAATCAGAACAATGCTTCCTTAGTCAATGTTCTCCAAGCCCTTTGATACATGATAACAATTCACCCCAGAGACCCGCCTATCTCTTTCCATCAAACTCCACTGATACAGAAAATGTTCAATCCTTTTCTCCTTTCCCCTGTTACTGAATTTGTGGATGTGCGCAGCGGCCACTCTGGGGATGAACAAACACGTTGCCATGACAGCAATTCCAGGGAGAACCTTGAACCACATCGTGGTAGAACCTCCTTCTAGAACACTTATGGGTGACCTGGTTTCAGCTCCCTTTCGATTTTGTGAAGGCTTGCGTTATAACCTAATATGTGGTCTATTCTGCAGAATGTTCCATGGGCGTTGGAAAAGAAAGTATACTGGGCTGCTGTTGGGTGCAGTGTTTGGTATATGTCTATGAGATCAGGTTGGTTGATGTAGCATTTAGATCTTCATGTCTTTGTTGAGCTTCCTTCTGGATGTTCTGTCCTTCACTGAAAGTGGTGTGTTGAAGTCTCCTACAAGTGTTGTGGAGCTGACTATCTCTCTTTTCAGTGCTGTTAGAGTTTGTTTTATATATTTTGGAGCCCTGTCATTGGGTGTGTAAATATTTATTATAGTTATATCCTCCTGGTGTAGTGACCCTTTAATCATTATATAGTGTCCTTCCTTATCATTTGTGGTGAATTTTACTTTAAAGTCTATTTTGTCAGAGATTAATATTGCCACTCCTGCTCTTTTTTGAGTGTTGTTTGCATGATATATTTTTTTCCATCCTTTGAGTTTTAGTTTGTGTCTTTAAGTCTAAGTTGTGTCTCTTGTAGGCAGCCCATAGATGGATTGTGTTTTTATCCAATCTGCCACTCTCTGTCTGTTTATTGGTGCATTTAGTCCATTTTCGTTCAGCGTAATTATTGATAGGTATGAGTTTCGTGCTGTCATTTTGATGTCTTTTTTCATGTGTTGTTCACAGTTTCTTTGTTCCATTTAATTTTCTGTGCTGAGTCATTTTTCTTTATGTATTTTCTTTTCATCTTTTTCATTGTTGTTGATTTTTGTGTTTCCTGAGTATTTATATTTTTCTAGTTTTTTATTTTGACTTGTAGGATTGTTAGTTTCCTTTGTGGTTACCTTAAT